AGGCCACAAACAGGCTGGATTTTTTTAATTTTCAGAAAAAAAAATTTATTAGAGTATAGTTGATTTACAATGTTATGTTAGCTTCAGGTGTAACAGCAAAGTGAATTAGTTATACACATACATATACCCACCCTGGGTTGCAAAGATCAGCCAAAGAAGGGAATGACAACCCACTCCAGTATTCCTGCTTAGAGAATTCCAAGGACAGAGGAGCCTAGCAGGCTACAGTCCATGGAGTCACAAAGAGTCAGATACAACTGAACCACTAACACTTTCACTTCTTTCACTCCTTTTTAGATTCTCTTCCCATATAGGTCATGACAGAGTATTGAATAGAGTTCCCGTAGAAGATCTTATATGGTAAGACCTTATTAGTTTATTTCATATATAATAGTGTGTCTATGTCAATCCCAGTCTCCCAATTAATCCCTTCCCGGCTTATCCCCTGGTATCTGTGTTTGTTTTCTACATCTGTAACTCTATTTCTACAAATAAGCTATTCTAGTTAACATACACTTCAAGTTAAATCATAATATAAGCCAAAATTACTTTCCTATCCTTCAATATGTATAATTTTCTTCCATCACAAATTACAGGATATTGCTAAGATGGGTTGTAAAGAAAAGACTCTATTTGCAATTAGGGAGAGGTTCTCTTAAATAATTAAAACACAACTTGGATATGTTCTCAATTCATATCTCATACAGTTCACTTTGACTGTAGATAAGACTTTTATGGATGGCTATTATTTGTAAACATCACTGCTGTATGATTAAAGCAAACGTCATATAATTCCTGAGGCAAGAAGATATAAGAACTTCAGAAACTGCCGGGGATCTCTAAGAACACTGAAGAAGGCGAGGGTCCTCAGAGCTTTGAATGCCAACCAGGTAATTAATCCTCCATGCCGTTAAGGGCACAGGGCTTCCTTTGAGTATCTGTTTTTCTTTGCCAGCTTTTAACTGGGCCAGAAAGGACAAGGTATAGTTCAAAACATGTTCATTGTGCTTGTGTTGCTGTTTTGTTTAATTTAAATTACTTATTTCCTTTCTTGTCTTATAGACTGTTGGCTTTGGTCTCAAATAGTGTTGAGTTAAATCCTGGCTCAGCCATCTAGAAGCTGTGAAACTGTAGGATAGATACTTAATCTAATAGTAATCTAGATACTAATACTAATCTACATACTTAATCTAGATACTAATCTAAATATTAATCTAGATACTTAAACTTCAGGGTCCTCATGTGCAAAATAAGCTAATGATATCTGGAAGGCAGCCCAGTTATGGTGATTAAACTGGATGATATGGGAGCATTCAATGAATGCCGATTTGTTAAGATTCAGTTATAGGTAACAGTAGTGCCCCTGCCTTATCCTGGTGGCACTCTCCCAAGGTTGCTATCCTCAGTCAGCTGGGGTCAGAAAATATTAAATGGTAAACTCCAAAAACAAAAAAGTCATAAATTATAGATTGTGCTATGCTCTGTTCTGAGCAGCCTGGTGAAATCTAGCATGATCCTGCTAATTCCCACTCAGGAGGCGGGTCATCCCTTTGTCCAGCGTACTGCTTCCCTCCACCCCCACCCTCCACCCCGATTAGCATAGGAAAAACAGTATATATAGGGTTCTGTAATATCTGTGGTTTCAGGGGGTCTTAGAATGTATTCCCTGCAGATAAGTGGTGAGGACCATATTTAAAAAGATGCTGAACCTCCTTTCCCCAGATTGCTGACCTGAGAGTGAAGTTTTTGCCATTTGTGTCTTGAAGGGGGTACTGCACGGCCAAAATACCTCTATCACTTTGGGAATGGAGGCTGCTCAGAGGAATTAATTGCAGGGTTAATACCATAATTAGAGAGAGAGAGGCCACACACTCTTCACTCTTCTGTTTCCCTCCTTATCAACGCTGTGTCAGAGTGTTCATATGGACCTTAATATGGACCTCATCTTTGGATTTTCTGGGGAAGTTTCCAATTCAAATACTGTTCCACCATTTCCCTTAAGCCATCTATTATTTGAGAGTTAGAATATGTATGCTGATTTGGGGATCATAAAGTATGCTCAAATTAAAATGCAATGAATTACTCATGTTAGTAATGATTTGGGGGAAAAATCTTTTTCCCAACCCCATGCTTACACTAAAGTAGTTGCCTAATGGATAAAAATAGAATAGAGGTTGATATTTTAATCTTATGTGGATGGCAATGGTCAGTTTTTCAAATACAAATTCCAAAGGTTATAAAGGAGATGATAACTAGGACAATTTTTGAAATTTTCAGTAGGCAAAAAAAATATATTGTAAACAAGAGAAAATACAAACTGGGAAATATTTTTGGTAAGATACAAAAGACAATAAATATACAAAGAAAGCCCTCCAAATTCCTGAGGAGAAAGATAAAATATCCCACAATAAGCTGTGCAAAGCTGTAAACCAAAAATTCATAAAAGAAATTTTAAAAGCTAATCATTATATAAAAAGACATTCAAGTTTATCAGTATTTTTAAAATGAAGTTTTTCTTTAATATACCAAAATTAGCAAGAAAAAAAATGGACAAATCAGGTGTTCATTAAGGGCTGGGGAAAGCAGCATTCCTGCCCACTAGTGTTAGAATGAACACACAGTGCAGCCCATTCAGAGGGCATTTTAAAAATTCTTTGAAATTTATTTTTTAATTGGATTATAATTGCTTTACAATGTTGTCTTGGCTTTCTGCTGTACAACCACTTGATAGCTACAAGTGTGTGTATATCCCTTCCTTCTTGACCTTCCCTCCTACTCCTCTAGGTTCAGAGGGTATTTTAGCCAAGAATATCAATGTGACACTTCGTGTGTTCTGTGAAATTACAACCCTGTGTATGTGAATTCGGATGTCGCAGGTGGCGCTAGTGGTAAAGAACCCACCTGCTAATGCAGGAGACATAAGAGACAAGAGTTCGATTCCTGGGTCCAGCAGATCTCCTGGAGGAGGACATGGCAACCCACTCTGGTATTCTTGCCTAGAAAATCCCATGGAGAGAGAATCCTATAGACAGATTAGCCTAGCAGGCTCCGGTCCATAGGGTTGCAAAGAGTCAGACCCGACTGAAGCAACTTAGCAGGCTCTCACATACGTGAATTTATACTAAAGAGAGAAGCAAAACTTCATAAAAGTCATGTGAGTGGAAAAAGGTTTATTACAATCAATCTGTTTCTGAGAGATAAAACCAGGTTACAGAATTATATGAATATACAAAATTATATAAACAACACATGCCTAGAAAAATGTTAATAAGCTCTTCACTCAATTGTTTCTCTGGAAGATTACATCGTATTCTCTAGTTTTTCAACGATCTTTTAATAATTTGTGTCAGATTTTGTCACAGGAAAAGATAAAATTTTTTTTTTTAAGTGTGGTATCGTGCAAACGGAAGAAAGTTGAACTAAAGTCAGGAATTCTTGTTGTAGCTGTGTGACAATGAAAAAATGACTTCATACCTCAGGTTTTCTAAACTGTAAAGTGGAGATATTAGATAGCATATTCAATTTTAATTCTAACATTAAAAAACTCACGGTTGGGATTGACTTGATTGACTTAAACTGCTGCTGCTGCTGCTGCTGCTAAGTCGCTTCAGTCGTGTCCGACTCTCTATTAAAGCGCAAATACTGCCTCATCTGAAAGAAAGCTTGCTTTGGACGCCCTCTCTTGGCTCTCCTGAGAATGGCAAGGGCGGGCTCTCCAGACTATACCAAATGCTTTCAGACTTGAAACCATTCAGCCCAGCAGAGTTAGATCTTTGGCATTGTTTCAGAGGTCTGGCATAAGATAAATTTTCCTAATCTTTATATTTAGCTTGAGATTCCTGTTTATTATTGAAGTATGTTGTTGTTCAGTTGCTCAGTATTGTCCGACTCTTGGCCACCCCATGGACTGCAGCATACCAGGCTTCCCTGTCCATCTCCTGGAGCTTGCTCAGTCACAGTTGAGTCTGTGATGCCATCCAACCATCTCGTCTTCTGTCGTCCCCTTCCCCTTTGCCTTCAGTCTTTCCCAGCAGCAGGGTATAGTTGATTTATAATGCTATTAGTTTCTGGTGTACAGCAAAGTGATTCAGTTATACATATATACGTATGTTCTCTTTCAAATTCTTTTCCCATTTGGGTTATTACGGAAAAGCGGAGTTATTATTATTAGTAAAGCGGAGTTCCCCGTGCTATACAGTAGATGCTTGTTGAGTATCTATTTTAAAGATACTTGTATATATCAGTCCCAAACTCTCAATTTACCCTTTCCCCATACCTTACCCTTTTGGTAACCATAAGTTTCTTTCCTAAGTTTGTGAATCTGTTCCTGTTTTATAAGTTCCTTTGTTTCCTATTTTAGATTCCATGTAAGTGATATCATATGGTATTATTTGTCTCTCTCTTTCTGACTTACTTCACTTAGCATGATAATCTCTAGGTCCATCACATCTTCTTTATCCATTCATCTGTTGATGGACATTTAGGTTGCTTCTATGTCTTGTCTATGGTAAACAGTGCTGAAACAAACATTGGGGTGCATCTATCTTTTCAAATTCCCTTTGTTGTATAATTTGGGTTTAGCCAGAGAGATATTTTTTTCCTTCATTTATGATTTGGGCTTCCTAGGTGGCACAGAGGTAAAGAATCTGTCTGCCAATGCAGGCAATGCAGGAGACACATATTTGATCCCTGGGTTGGCAACACCCCCTGGAGGAGGAAACGGCAGTCCACTCCACTGTTCTTACCTGAAAAATCCCATGGACAATGGAGCCTGGCAGGCTACAGTCCACGGAATCACAAAGAATTGGGCACAACTGAGTGACAGAAAAGAATGCATTTATTAATATGATTTGGCTTTTATAAATTCCTGGGTCCACTTCACTAGTGCAAATGTGTTGAAATTTCAGATCTGGGTGAATCCAGGAGTATCAAGGAAAAACTGACAAGGACTCTGAGATCTGTGCTTCCTGAAGCACTTCTGTCCCTGGGGGAAGAGGAAGATGGCTCCGAAAAGCATGTGGCTGGTTTTTCTGATGAGCTGTGTAGCCAGCACTCAAGTCCTGGATGGTGAGTACCAGTCACTAAACTGGAATTGAGCCCACAGTCAATGTTCTTTGTATGGTTGTGAGCCGTAGTGAAACCATCATCAATCAAATGTAGATTATAATAATTATTTTGCAAGTTTATTGTGAAGGGTGGAGATAATGTATTTAAAGTACCTGTCACCTGGCAGTCAAGAAATGATGACTATAGTTAGAACTACCCAATGCATTGTGCACTGTTTTCCTACTTGAATATATTGGGGAATTCCAGTTTGCAAAAAACATACAGACTAGTTGGAGAGATGGCTTCAACACACCTATAGGCCCAGCATCAAGTATAAAGTCACATGTTAGGGTTTCCCTTGTGGTCTAGTGGCTAAGACTCTGCCCTCCTAAGGCAGGCGGCTGGATTCAATCCCTGGTCAGGGAACTAAGATCCCACATACTGCAACTAAGACCTGGCACACACAAATAAATAAATAAACAAAAATGGGGCTTCCCTGATAGCTCGGTTGGTAAAGAATCCACCTGCAATGCAGGATACCCCAGTTCAATTCTTGGGTTGGGAAGATCTGCTGGAGAAGGGATAGGTTACCACTCCAGTATTCTTGGGATTCCTGTGTGGCTCAGCTGGTAAAGAATCTGCCTGCAATACGAGAAACCTGGGTTCAATCCCTAGGGAGCATCAAGTATAAAGTCACATGTCAGGACTTCCCTGCTGGTCCAATGGCTAAGACTGCCTTCCCAGTGCAGGCGGCTGGCTTCAATCCCTGGTCAGGGAACTAGGATCCCACATGCTGCAACTAAGACCAGGCACAGACAAATAAATAAACAAATAAACAAAAATAAAATATTTTAGAAATAAAATATCGAAGTAACACATCTGTGAGGTAGTAAGCAATACCGTAGAATCTACCAGTGGAGAAAGCAGGGGAAGAAAGCTGCAAATATGGGCTAAGAATAAGTATCCTGGCTGCTTTGATAATCTGCAGAGGCCCTGATGGTGTCGTGTGTAGTACGGGGAGTGAAGAAACTTGCCTGAGCACTTCTTTTAAGAAGAGGCCTCTTGAGAGGGTCCAGGGCTGCACATGACCCAGCACTTCTGCCAGCAGGGATGCCTAGGCCCGGGGAGAGAGTGACTGGAAGGAGGTACAAAGAGAAGCAGGGTTCTTGGGGCCTCATGTTGGTGCTCGTGGCTGAAGTCTGTGGGTCCAGCCACCAGCTCTCTTGACCACCTACGGCCATTCAGGACCTGGGGAACGCAACCACTTTCTCTGGAGCGTGCTAGCGTGTGAAAGACTGGGAGAGGCTGCCCTCAAGCTCCCCCAGCGGGCCACACTCCATGGCCGTTTCTAATCAACAGCCTGGGTAGTTAGTACCTTGCTGCTCCGGTCCTGGCTTCCCTGAGGGGGCTTGAAATTTGCCCGAACTGTGCCGTGGAGAGTGAGCTGTCCAAGAAGCGGGAATGGGGGGAGGAGAGACAGTGAGGGAGTTGGGGATGGACATGTACACTGCTATACTGAAAATGGATTCACAACAAGGACCTACTATACAGCACAGGGAACTCCGTGTCGGCCTGGATGAGAGGGGAGTTTGGGGGAGAATGGATACACATATATACATACACACACACACACACACACGTATATATATAGCTGAATCCTTTTACTGTTCACCTAAAACATCCTAACTAGTTACTGTTTTCAAAACATATTACATGGGTTATAATGATAATGTGATTATTTTGATAGCTACAATTTATTAAGTAGTTACTATTTTTTGACAATTACTAGATACTCAATGCTACTGATTGTGCATGCATTATCCCACTTAATCCTCCCAAACCATCCTATGATTCAGTGTATAAACAAGAAAACCCAAACTAAAAGAGTTTAAATAATTTTCCCAAGGCCACACTTCTAGTAAGTGGTGGAGTAAAAAGACTATTAGTTGTCCAGGTGGGATGTTAAGAGCCAAAACCTCCTGACACTGTATGTGTATGGATGAGAGGGTCTAGGACCGTGAGTGGTGGGATCAAGGTTCTAGGGCTTCTGGGCACTGCCTCCTCTCCCAGGCCCCTCCTCTTTCCCCATGAGTGTCTTCAGTAGGTTACTTCACCCCTGAAGAGGTTTTCTTATCTGTCCAGTGGGGACATACATCCTTATTACTTAGGATAGCTCCGGTAGTTAAACAAGACAATCTGAGTGAATGTACTTAGCCCGTAGGGGTTTTTTTTAAACAAATAAATTGAGCCTAGTGACTACAATGGTGCAAACTTGGTGGCTCAGATGGTAAAGAATCTGCCTGCAATACGAGAGACCCGGGTTCAATCCCTGCGTCAGGAAGATCCCCTGGAGAAAGGAACAGCAACCCACTCCAGTATTCTTGCCTGGAGAATCCCATGGACAGAGGAGCCTGGTGGGCCACAGTCCATGGGATTGCAAAGGGTTGGACATGACTGAGGGACTAACAGTTTCACTTTCGATGAGTGTAATGCCCGAGAGCTTCTATTTAGAGTCAGACCATCTTGGGTGGTCAAATCCTGTCTCTATCACTTATTTGCTGCGGGACTCCAGGACATGACCACTCTCTGCCTTTGTCTTCTTCTCTGGAACTGAGGATAATGATGGTCTACTTCACAGGGTTATGATGGGAGTGGCTCGAATGCCTGGAACAGCTCCCGGTACATAGCAAATGTTCCATGAGGTGTGAGGTGGTAGAAGGCAGAGCGGCAGCCCCAGCAGAGCAGCACAGTTTGCCCCTCCAGGAGCTCACGAGTCTCCGTCAGGGAGCCATGGCCATGGCTGTAGTATCGTGAGGTGAGTGGTGAGGTGAGGGAGGAGGAAGGAGAGGAACGAATGAGGCAGAGAGACAGTCATAAACACACAGAGACTCAACAAGGCACAGAGCCCAACAGAAAGTTAGTGAGAGGCAGAGACACCAGGGTGAGTGGGAAGACAGCAAGAGAGAAAAAGAGAAATACATGTCTTTCTGAAACGACACAGAGAGGCACAGAGCCGAACAGAGAGACGTGGACAGAAAAACAGAAGGACACTCAAAACAGACATGGGGCAGGGAAAAAGAGAGAGAGTGCTGGTGGTCCGGCTTTAAGCACGATCCAAGGTTTGCATTGCCCTGACCCCCTCTCGGTCCTCCAGTGTGCCCCTGGGAGCTCTGCTCTCGCTACCTGGATTCAGGACAAAATAAAGTGCCTGGTGATGGAGAATCTGTGCTAACACATTTGCCCACAGGATGCCCAACAGAGTCACTTCAGAGTTCGAAAGAGAAATCAGAGAGAACTGAACTAGGAGCACCCGGTGTGAAGTAAGGGGCCCTTATCCTCAGACTGGAGTCAGAGACTTGGACTCTTTCCTTCCACCTCTTTCAGAATCCTTTCGCCAGTGTTCGATTGAAAAGCATGCTTGTAATCTCTCTCCAGATTGTTCCTTACCGAAATTCAAGCCTTTTCATTTGGGGTGGTAATCAGTGGTCAGCCTTATCCTTAAGATCAATTTTTACTCTGAGTCAAGGATGTCTTTTACTTTCTTTCTCCCTGATAAAATAAGCAAGTCAAAAAATAAAAATAAAAATAAAATAACCAAGTCATCCCAACCCTCTAATGATTTTCATTGCCACATTTCCAATTTTTTGTTTTTTTTTATAAAAGCCAAAGTTGAGAGGTTTGGTGGCAGGAACACAGATTCATTAGTTAGAGAACTGAATCTGAAAAGTGGCTTTTCCACCTCCCTGTGTGATCTTAGATGGGTGACCACCAGGCCTGTTTCCTCACCTCCGTAAGATACATATGCAGTACAGATAAACCCCTTTGCATAGTGCCTGGTGGCAAGAAAGCACTCTGCAGTGGAAGCTGGTGATAATGCAACAGAAGTAGCAACAGTGGCATAAAGGTGTTCTTTTTATTTAACATCAAATGCTGATGTTCCTATTCCTAAAGTACGCAGTAGAAGGTAAGATATTTAAGCATATGAGCTTCTATGTTGCTTGTTCCTGATACATTTGAGGTACCCCTTTATTACCCAATTTGACTGCTTGTTGCTTAGAAAGGAAAGGTGCTTGACTCAGAAAAGCTGGAAATCTAGGGAGAAGGTGAACTTGTGTCCAGAGACCAACTCCAAAGATTCTGCTCAGCCTTGATGATTTTTAAAGGGGAGAAAGAGAGAAGAATCTTAATGAATTATTGATGCAGGAAATTGGATTCTGCATTATTTCCCACTGTGTGCAGACTGGTTCACTAATCCAATGTCATCATGCCTGCATGATCTGCCTGCAGGATTGAGAAGGGAACTATTAAGGATAGAGCCTCTTGATGACTGTGAAAGAGGAGAGTGAAAAAACTGGCTTAAAACTCAACATTGTAAAAACTAAGATCATGGCATCCAGTCCCATCACTTCATGACAAATAGATGCGGAAAAAGTGGAAACAGTGGCAGATTTTATTATCTTGGGCTCCAAAATCACTGCAGACGGTGACTGTAGCCATGAAATTAAAATATTCTTGCTCCTTAGAAGAAAAGCTAAGAAAACCTAGACAGCGTATGAAAAAGCAGGTACATCACTTTGTTGACAAAGGTCTATATGGTCTAAGCTATGGTTTTTCCAGTAATCACATATGAATTGAGGGTTGGACCATAAAGAAGGCTAAGAACTCATGCTTTTGAACTGTGGTGCTTGAGAAGACTCTAGAGTCTCTTGGACTGCAAGGAGATCAAACCAGTTAATCTTAAAGGAAATCAACCCTGAATACTTTTCATCTTCATTTGAAAAGACCCTGATGCTGGGAAAGATTGAAGGCAAGAGGAGAAGGGGACAACAGAGGATGAGATGGTTGGATGGCATCAGCGATTTCGACGGACACAAGTATGAGCAAGCTCCAGGAGATGGTGAAGGACAGGGAAGCCTGGCATGGTGCAGTCCATGGGGTCACAAAGAGTCAGACATGAGTTAGTGACTAAACAACAACAACATTTTTTAACTGCCGAATTCTTCATTTTTACTTCTTTTTATCTAGGAAAAGAATCAGCAGTTTAGATAAGGCATAGTATGCATTCAGGAGAGCGTAGTTCAGGAGTTAGGTTAAATGGCCTAGTGATTTCATGCCTATGATTAGGCTCTTTCAAGATTAAACAGAGGGCTTCCCAGGTGGTGTTAGTGGTAAAGAAGCTGCCTGCCAATGCAGGAGACATAAAAGATGTGGGTTCAGTCCCTGGGTTGGGAAGATCCACTGGAGGAGGGCATGGTAATCCACTCCAGTGTTCTTGCCTGGAGAATTCCATGGACAGAGGAGCCTGGCGGACTACAGTCCATAGGGTCCCAAAGAGCGTCAGACACGACTGAAGTGACTTAGCACACAGGCAAGGTTAAAGGCAAACAAAATGGGAAAACAGGAAAGGGCAAAGAGATACTTGACTTTGAAACTTGTCTTGCTGTGCCTCCACTAGGTTAGTCATTGTCCATCATTCACAGGTACAAAGCGGAGCACAAGCAAAGAATCTATGTCAACAATGAGCGTCATGTTCCAGGATGGAGCTGGGGCTGCTGCACTGGAAGCTGTGTTTCACTAGGGCCGTGTGACCAGGCTCTGAACACCCTTGAATGCCCAACTGAATGGAAAGCTTATCTGAAAGCAACAGGAGATTTGTAAGATAGGAGATTTGTAGGCAACGAATGAAGTAGATCAGGGCTTCCCTTGTGGCTCAGAAGTAAAGAATCTGCCTGCAATGCAGGATACATGGGTTTGATCCCTGGATTGGGAAGATCCCCTGGATCAGGGAATGGCAACCCACCCCCAGTATTTTTGCCTGGAGAATCCCATGGACAGAGGAGCCTGGCAGACTTCAGTCAATGGTGTCTCAAAGAGTTGGACATGACTGAGGGGCTAACACACGCAATGAAGTGGAACAGAAGCATCAGGCAAGCAAGTGACGGCTGTGTCATCTGCCTGAGGAGAGAGGAGATGCTATGTAACCACAACAGTCTGTGGACATGCACTGGGGGTGGAAAGACTCCTGCACCCATCTACAGCATTACCACGTGGCCACACTGGCACAAAGTCCAAACTTACTGGCTCAGCATCCCATTCCTTATCTGGGTCCTCTGCATTTCCAGCAGTTTCAGTGACATGGCCCATTCATCAGTCCACTAGCTGAAAGAGTTTGTGCTTCTCTCTGAGTCATGGTTTCCCTGGCTTCTGGGCCCTGGCTCTCTCCTTCTATTTTCTGTAGTGTTTGCCTGACAGATCCTCTACATGTAAGGCAAACCTAAGTGCTTGCTCTTCCTGCTGCCGTTTCTCTGCTCACCCACCCCCTTAGCCTAAAATGTTCCCCTCCCCTTGCTATTGACTTACAGCCCCCCATTTTCAAGTCCTGCCAAGTAGCCATCTAACCGGTCATGCATTCCCCTAGATAAAAAAAAAGGAAAAACCCATTTGTCCCCTATGATGCCTAAAACTACCAATTTATGCCCCTCATCCACTCTTGTGATCTCTTGAATTACATCTGTTTGATCTTGCTACCAACGTGGGGATTCTGCCAGTTGCTGAGGATGTTTATTCCAATTACATAATCCTTTAGTGAGGAGATTAGCACAGGGATGGGCTTGGGGAACCACTGGGTCCATGGAAAATAGTCCTGAGCTAAAACATCATTGATCGCTCGACCTCTATAAACCCCTACTTGACTGGCAGACCTCAGTGATGTTTGGGGTCTCCTGGAATTGGTATCAGTTCAGAGACAGTGTCCAGTAGCCTCAAAGATCTGATTATCTCCTTTTCCCCAATGCTGAAGTACTCTGGTAAGAGACCACCGCCCCTTCCGGAGATGCCAGGAGAAAGGTGAACAGTATAAAGATGTGGCAGCAGAGAGCGATCCTGCCTCCAGGACGCTCAGCCTCTCCTCCTTCAAGGGGACCTAGATCTTAAACTGGCTAAGGTGTTGACTTGCTTTTTCTTTCCTTTGTAACTTGTATTTGCCTTTTGTTTGTGCACAGCCATTATCCTGAGACCTAGCTGTCCTACCGGGTGGTTTTACCACAGGTCATATTGCTATGGTTACTTCCGGAAGCTGAGGAACTGGTCTGAGGCTGAGGTAAGAAATCTGGCTCATGCTCAGAGAGGTGTCTCTAGAGGAAGGAAACACCCAAAGCTCCAGGTATCATTCAACTCAGAGCCAAGGGTCCTTCCCTGGTGTTCTGAGAAGTCACCTGGCAGGTGAAGTGGAGAGAAGAGAAGAGGGTTACCCCTTCAGCCCCTTTAATGTTGTAAGCATCGGTGGAGCACATAGAGGGGGAAAGGTGGAAAGTGACATATTTCCTCTCTGGGGCTCTGAAATCACTGCAGTGGTGACTGCAGCCATGAAATCAGAAGACATTTGCTTCTCAGCAGGAAAACTATGACAAACTTAGACAGTGCGTTGAAAAGCAGAGACATTACTCTGCCAATAAAGGTCCATATAATCAAGGCTATGTTCTTCCCAGTGGTCATGTACAGTTGTGGTTGTCAGAGTTGGACCATAAAGAAGGTGGAGCACCAAAGAATTGATGCCTTCGACCTGTGATGCTGGAGAAGACTCCTGAGAGTCCCCTGGACAGCAAAGAGATCAAACCAGTCAATCTTAAGGGAAATCAGCCCTGAGTACTCATTGGAAAGACTAATGCTGAAGCTGAAACTCCAGTATTTTGGTCATCTGATGCTAACAGCTGACTCATTGAAAAAGTGCCTGATGCTGGGAAAGATTGAAGTCAGGAAGAGAAGAGGGCATCAGAGGATGAAATGGCTAGATGGCATCACTGATGCAGTGGACATGAACTTGGAAAAACTTTGGGAGATGGGGAGGGACAGGGAGGCCTGGCGTGCTGCAGTCCATGGGGTCACAAAGAATTGGACATGACTGGGCAACTGAACAACAACAAATCAATGGAGCGTGTGCTACAGGCCCAGACCCTGGAGGGGCTGCAAAGCTATGAGAATGAACCAGAGACAGCCTTCCCTCCAGGAGTCCATTATCAGGGAGAAAGACAGAAGCACATTAAGCCAAAGAGGATGAGATGAGGAACTTAGAGAAAGAACAACTTGAATTGCTGTACAAGATTTACCAGCCTCAGAGCCACCTGACAGAGAGTGAAGCATTCCGAACACATGGAAGGCCTTAGTGTCCCCATAACTCAACAAATGCATTGGTTTTATTTCACTGAGGCTTTCCTAAGAGATACCCATGTAGCCAGTCAGAGTAAGTTACCTCGGAATATGAGGAGTCAGGGCTGCTATGTCTCTGAATTGTTACTGGAGTGACCAACTGGGGAGACCAGTGGGGATGTGGGCCCACAATGGCCTCAGACATTTGTATTGCCTGTCCCCGGAGAGCCCAACGCTGATTCTACCAAAACAAAGAGGAAGATATCCAGGGAGCTTTGGAATGATACGTTTGCTCAGTCGCTTCAGAAATGTCTGACTCCTTGCAACCCCATGGACTGTAACTGGCAGGTTCCTTTGTCCGTGGGATTCTCCAGGCAAGAATACTAGAGTGTGTTGCCATGCCCTTCTCCAGGGTGTCTTCCCAGCCCGGGGATTGAACCTGCGTCTCCTGTGTCTCCTGCATTGCACGCAGATTCTTTATCCACTGAGCCACCGGGGAAGCTCACCTGTGAAGTCCAAGTCTATACTGGAATAAAATAGGTGTGCATTTAAATCACGTTTTGCCAGGCATTAGTTAGAGCTATACCTCACTTTACCAGCTTTCTTCTGTAACATGGGGACAATACTTTCATCCCATGGGGTTGTTGGGGCTGTTGCAAAAAACCTCTGGCACATGGTAGATGCTCAATTCAGATTTTCAAGGCAAAAACAATCCATAAGATTGCTACCGAGCCTTAGCAGAGTTAACCACTCCTGAACCAGAGTTCAGAGAAGGTGTCGGGAAGGACTGGAGAAATTGACCTTACAGCGCTGTGCTTCTTGATTCCTAGCTGCTATCTTAGTTCACAAAACTCCTGGAGGCAATGGGGCTGGCATGAAAACGACAGGTAAGCCCAATCTCAGACTGAAGAAGCAGAGCTCTGGGTTCTAGCCATGTGAATTTACAGGGAAAATATCACCTAAACTGACTGAGCCTGTTTGTTCTTCTGTCCCAGGAATCTTTGTGATTGGTACACTCCCTAAACGTGGACTGGTAATCCAGCTTCCACACCTCACAAATTTGAAAGGCAAATGAAATTATGAATGTAAAAACATTTGGGTTTTGTAAAGTGGCTGGCACTTAGTGTGAGGACTGCTAAGTCACTTCAGTCGTGTCCACCTCTTTGCGACCCTATGGGCTGTAGCCCACCAGGCTCCTCTGTCCATGGGATTCTCCAGGCAAGAATACTAGAGTGAGTTGCCATGCCCTTCTCCAGGACAAGATTATCATCAAACAGTAACCACATCTAATACTGAGCAAGTTCAAAGGCAAGCATTAGGGTAGCAATCACAGTCAAACCATGCTTTTATTAAATTAACTTTTATCATGCAGGCAGATCCTATAACAAAGCCCAGGAGAGCTTAAAGTATGTATCTCTGTCTGTCTGTAAAGTGTGTGCATATACAATGATTTTGTCAATTGGGCGGTAAGTTTCTAGTTAGAGAATGGCACATTTTACAATCAGTGGACTCCTATTTGTTGAAGTGTATTACTATAATGCATCATTATGGCAGTCCCATGCTCGTAACTACTCCCTTGTGTAGCCATAATTATGTCTTGCATTTTACAGACGAGGAAGAGAGGTACAGAGACTTGTCAGGGTCACAGACACAAATGAGAGGCAAGTCCAGGACCCCAGGCACTTCCACTGGCCCTAAAGCACGTGACCCAGCCTCGAGGAGGCCTGACAGCTGTGTGTTATGCTTTCTCCCATGATGACAGGAAGTCTTCTGTGGGGTTTAGATCCTCAGAGGAGGTGGGAGCTGTGTGTGTGCATGCTGCTTGGTGAGCTAGGGTTCTGAGGTGAAGGCTGTGCTTTTCTTTTTTTTTTTTTTTCCCTAATTTTTCTTGAAATACAGTCGATTTACAATATCCTATTAGTTTCAGGTGTACAAGTGATTCAGTTATACATATACCTCTACCAATATATTCTTCTTTAGATTCTTTTCCCTTATAGGTCTTTACAAGGTATTAAGTGGAATCCCTTGTGCCATACAGTAGATCCTTGTTTACCTGTTTCATATATTGTAGTATGTATATTTTAACCCCAGCCTTCTAATTTACCCCTCCCCCTCTGACTGCTTTGGTAAGCAGAAGTTTGTTTTTTATGACTGTGAGTCTGTTTCTGTTTTGTAAATAAGTTCATTTGCATCATTTTTTAGATTCCACGTATAAGTGATATCATATGGTATTTGTCTTTGTCTGACTTACTATAATTAGTATGATAGTCTCTAGGTCCTTCCATGTTGCCACAAATGTTATTATTTCATTCTTTTTTGTGACCGAGTAATAGTCCATTATTACTCAGCCCATAATGGACTATTACTCAGCCATCAAAGAGATATACCATATCGTCTTCATCCATTTGTCCGTAGATGGGCATTTAGGTTGTGGGCCATGTTTTTAAACCTCATATCTCCTCCTTGCCCTCAGCTCGAGTGTCAGTCATATGGAAATGGAGCCCACTTGGCATCTGTCCTGAGTTTGAAGGAAGCCAGCACCATAGCAAAGTACATAGGTGCCTATCAAAGAAACAAGCCGGTGTGGATTGGCCTGCATGACCCGCAGAAGGTAAACTCAGACCTGGCCCACTGATGGCCTCTTGGGAGAAGCAGATAGACAGCGCCTGTCTGGGAAACGGCCCCAGGCCCACTGACAAGGGCACACACAACAGATCTTCAGTCACCTGCCTCCAGCTGATAGAGGCCAAGGCTTCCAGGTTAGGAACAAAGCCATGTCCTCCCCTTACAGACCTATCCATTTAGAGCCCTCTCAAGTCTTTTTAAACACAAAATTACCAGCTCCTCAGAGCCTTTCAAAAAAAAGTTTCTGTAAGTATATAGGGGCATATACATATGCAAATAAACATAGACACACACATAGAGCCTCATTATGAGATCCCGCTTAATTAAATTCCAGTTAGATCTTGAGTTAAAGTGGATTCAGTTAAGCTTTTCACTAGATGCCATCACGTGTTTTATGCCATCCTTAACTTTCTTCACTGGCCTTTCATTTTACCCCTCTCAGTACCTCTTTGTAAGAAATGACATGTGAGGTTGCTGAAGTCTCTGTGTGGGACCTGCAATTTATAGATTCTTTGTGGGGCTTCTATGTTAACCAAAAAACACAAAGAATACAAGCAGAAAAATCCTAGACTTTGTGTTTATTAATAATCTTTGCCATAGATGTTACAAATAATTTATACAGTTAATTTTACATTGTTGGTATTCACACTACTATCAACCAGAGCCCTCTCATTCAAAGATAGGATAAGTATTTATATCTATTTCTATCTGATTTTTAAATTTTTATTTATCTTTTTAATTGAAGGAATTTCTACCAGGTTTTTTAAATTTAATTTTTTACCTTCATGACTGAGGCTAATAAACAGCCTAACGAATTGTGCAATGAATGTATCAAAGAAATACAAATTAGAATAACAATATAATTTGACTCAGATTATTAGATGTTTGCTTTGTCTTAATGAATAATATTTTTAAGATAAGGGGAAATTTCTCAGTAAATGACGGTATAAATTCCTACAACTGAACTGTTTTTGAAAGGCAGTTTGGAAATGCATTTTAATATCCTTAAAATATTCATGCCCCTTGGACATTAATTTTACTTCTGGGATTCTAGTTTTAAAAAATAACTTTAAGTACAGAAACAGCTTTACAAATAAAATTGTTCATAGCGGTATTCTTTGCAATAACTGTAAATTAGAAACAACATAAACATCAATCAATAGGAGAATCAGTAAGGTAAATTGTGGTACATTCTTACCCTTAAAAAACTGTTTGGAAAGCAAAATACTACAAAATTGAATATATATGTTTTAAAGGCTACCACATTTTTTTCAGTACATAAAAATATTGTGATAGATAAAAATGGTTACACCACAAGTAAATATGGTAAAATATTAGTAATGTTGTCTTCCTGAAGGTTAAATGGAGTGACTTTTCTATTTTCCCTTCACACATTTCTGTGCCTTCCCAAGTTTTACAGTGAAAGCTGTGTTTAAGGGGGCTGTGGTGACCATCTGGGCTGTGAGCAGGTGGGCAGGCTGATGTGTACGTGTCTCCCATCTCCTGTCATTGCAGAAGCATCAATGGCAGTGGGTCGATGGAGCCGTGTATATTTACAGATCTTTGTCTGGCAAGTCCGTGGGTGAGAACAAGTACTGTGCTGCGATGAATGCCAAGACCAGTAAGTTCTACCACATCTCTTCCTGAATCCCAGCTCCTTCTCTTTCCTGTTGAGAGCAAAGCTGGGCTTTGACTCCACTTTGCACCATTTCACACCAACAACTCTATAGGACAGTGGCCTTGTCCCAGACTTTACTCACTGACCATTTGTGACCATGTCAGTGTACCAGCCATTCAGTTATCAATATTTTCTTTTGCTCCAATCACTTTTTTCTTTTTTTTATTTTTCAATAACTCATTTTAACTGAAATATAGTTGATTAACCATGTGGCATTAATTACTGCTATATAGCAAATGATTACATTCGCTTTTTTTATGTTCACTTTTTAATGTTTTTTTATCATAGTAAAAGTCACATAATATAAAACACACTATTTTAACCATGTTTAACTGTATAGCTCAGTAGCACGAAGGACATATACACTGTTGTGCAACTCTCACCATTCTCCATCTCCCAAATTTTTCACCTCTTTAAACTGAAACTCTGTCCCCATTAAACACTAAATCCCCCTTCCCTCTCCCCACACCCCTCTCCCCACCCCCATCCCTGGCATCTACCAATGACCTTTCTGACTCTGTGAGTCTGACTATTCTAGGTATCTCATATAAGTGGAATCAAATAGTATTCATCTGCACCTACTGTATATTGGAATGCATTTTTAAGATTAACTTAATATATGGCCCATGAGCAGATTGAACCCTCTTTTTCCCACTGAGCTACACAGTAGGTTCCCATAGTAGTATATATACATATACTAGTATATGTATACATATACATAGTAGTATATATGTGTCAGTCCCCATCTCCCAGCCCATCCCCTCCCCTTTCCCCCTCTAGGTGTCCATACATTTGCTCTCTACATCTGTGTCTTTGTTTATCTTAAAATTCTGTCCTATACCTCAAGGGGGAAATACGTCACATTTGGGGAAATCCAGACAACAGGGAGCAAGTATGTGTGACTGCTTTCGGGCTTCTTTACAGTCAGAGTTCTCCACGAGCCCTAGAAACCTCACTTTGCCTGCATTCTTCCCTCATATTCTCTGAGTTTCATCCCAGAAAATAGTGCCCAGAACCTCGCTGCAGGCTGGGCACTATCACTGCAGCCTCTTCAGTTCTCTTGCCTGCCTTCAAGCTTTGCTTTTCATGCTAATATGTTAGGGTTTTCAGCCTTGCTACAAAGCCATTTGGGGTGGATAATGCTTTGTTGTGGGAGCTGCCCTGTGCATTGTAGGGTTAGCATTCCCTAGTCACTAACTGACAGATACCAGCAGCATACACACACACACATACACAGTTTGTAACAACCAGAAATGTCTGCTGACTTTGCTAAATGTCCCCTGAAAGTGTTAGTTGCTCAGTCCTGTCCAACTCTTTGCAACCCCATAAACTGTAGCCTGACAGACTCCTCTGTCCTTGGAATTTGCCAGACAAGAATACTGGAGTGGGTAGCCATTCCCTTCTCCAGGGGATCTTCCTGACCCAGGGATCGAACCTACATCTCCTGCATTGGCAGGCAGATTCTTTACCGTCTGAGCCACCAGGAAGGCCCTAAATGTCCCCTGGGGGGGACAAAATCACTCCTATAGGAGAACCACGGCTAATAAGTGACATGAAAAGGAAACAGAATGTCAAAGATGCAAAAGATGCTTGATCTGAAAGAGAACATCCCAGTGTGTTTAAAAGGCCTTCGTAGCATCACCAGGATTCCCCCACTAGCCAGGGCGTGAGCCTGGGCAGGGCCAGGACTGAGAACTCAGGTACTGGGGCTCAGGTGGAAAGGGACGTGGAACAGGTTTACTATTATCTGAAGAATAAAAGTTATATGCACACAAGAATGAGAAAACTTTCTGACAGCAAAGTGATGGACACGTGGAGACAAACTCTGAGGTGAGCTCTAAGCAAACCTTCGGAGGTTAAGTAGGTCACATCACAGACCAAGGAAGGATTTCCCACAGTCTGGAAGGGATTACAGCTGCTGTTTAAGGAATAAGTCATCTCTGATGGAAGGAATACACCAAGACCAATATGCAGAAGCTACCAAAATGTATATTTCTATCCAAGCTAAGGAAAATATTCTGAACAATCAGCACTGTGCAAAATTATAATGAGCTACCCTAGAAAGTAGTAAGAAACCTATCAGTAGAGTTAACCAAGCAAAGGTGGACATTGTGGTTGTTACTGGGGCTTCCCTGGTGGTTTAATGGTAAAGGACCTGCCTGCCAATGCAGGAGACATGGGTTCAATCCCTGGGTTGGGAAAAATCCCTAAGAGGAGGAAATGGCAACCCACTCCAGTATTCTTGCCTGGGAAATCCCATGGACAGAAGGAGCCTGGCAAGCTAAGTCGGCCACGACTTAGCAACTGAGCACACATGCATGTGGTTGTTATTGCAGCTGCAGCATTAAAAAAGAGAAAGACAAATACTGCATACTAATGCATATACGTGAACTCTAGAAAGATGTACTGATGATTCTATGTGCAGGGTGGCAAAGGAGACACAGACACAAAGAACAGACTTTGGGACTCAGTGGGAGAAGGAGAGGGTGTGATGATTTGAGAGACTAGCATTGAACCAACCATGTGCATTACCATATGTAAAATAGATAAACAGTGCGAGTTTGATGCATGAAGCAAGGCACTCAAAGCCAGTGCTCTGGGACAACCTAGAAGGATAGGGTGTGGAGATATGTGGAAGAAGGATTCAGGATGGGGGTGCTGCATGTATGCCTATGGCTGGTTCATATTAATATATAGCAGAAACCATCACCATTTTATAAAGTAATTATCCTCCAATTAAAATAAATAAATTAAAATTTTAAAAAAGCATTAAAAGAGGCTCAGTGGCACATGATAGTCAGCTCAGGAACATTTTAAAAATATGAATTTCAGGGATCGCTTCAGACTGACAACATCAGAATCCCTAGGGCTGGATATCAGACCAAGCTCCAGGGGAGCAGTGAATCAGTGGCCTTCCAAGGTCCCTCCCATGATTCTAAGGTTTCAATTGGATAGAGTTCTCAAAGAAAAATCCTCACACTGTCAGTCTGTGTCCACATCAGCAAAGTTCCCAACAATGAAGTATCCTGTGTGGGAACCAGAAGCCAGTCGTTCACCTGAGAACACCAGGCCACAGGACACTTCTCCGCCCATTTACTCAGCCTAGCTTTCCACTCTCAGGATACAGGCTCTCGAGGCAGAAAAGCTCAAGGAAGGAAGCAAGGATTAGAAACTGGTGAAGGTAGAATTTAAAAGAGTACTTCCTTCAGCCCTGTCCATGTCACTTTATGTTTATATAACAGATTTAGCTTCCCCAACTCAGGGGCTGTACAGTTTGTTTAAGACTCATAAGGTATAATATATGTGTCCCCAGTGATAGCCACACACATTCCGTGTGTGTATTTCTCTGTGACTGGACTTGTTCCTTTTTTCTATCTATTTAGAAAGACCGGGACCCTTTGGAAAATTGTATTTCACAGTGCTTCCTGAGTTACCTACTGGTTCACCATGAGATATTGAGTAATGATAACTAGGGTTCTACAACCAAAAATAAATTTCATATTTAATATAGTTTAGGTCAAGGCCCTGGGCTCTGCATTCTGAGTGCCTGGGGCAGGAGTCTAGTTCCTTCACTTAGCTGTGTGACCTTGACCGGATTCCTTACTTCTCTGTGCCTCAGATGCCACTCTGTACAGAGGGAAAAATAATACTAATCATCGTGGTGGTGGTGGTGGTGGTTTAGTCTTTAATTCCGGCTCTTGTGATCCCAAGGACTATATCCCATCGGGTTCCTCTGTCCATGGAATTCTCCAGGCAAGAATGCTGGAGGGGGTTGCCATTTCCTTCTTCAGGGGATCTTCCCTAGCCAGGGATCAAACCCAGGGTCTCCTGCATTGCAGGCGGATTCTTTACCAGCTGAGCCCCCAGGGAAGCCCAATATATGTCAGATGCTTATCACTGTGCAGACTGGGCTCATGGCTTTCATGGCCTGGAGGGGAGGCGAGTATGGTCTCCCACACCCTTCCCTGAACATGCCCCTCTTTCATGGAGGAACAAGGGAGGAGAGACACTTCCCTAAGTCAGTGCCCCCTGGGGAGCCTGCTGTGTTCCCCATGGTTGTTTGAAGCTCCTGCCATGTTCTCTTTGCCCCATACTTTGGCAATGCCCAGAATGTTTGCGTCTCCATCTCATTTCCACTCTGTGGCCCCAGTTCTGGGCCCTGTGGCTAAGGGAGTGGTCAGGACCTATCTCCTCTTCCTCCTGAGAACCAGGCACCTCACCTTGGTTTGCCTGGCTGTACCTCCATGCCCTCCTTCCCAGGCTCTTATCCCATTGACCTGACATACCCTGGTACCAGTGCCAGGGCCAGATCTATAAGTCAGAGCCAGGCAGAAAACCAACTGGGGAGCCACTCATCACTCAGTGGTAGACACCCCAGATTGACAAGCCATTCTGTGCAGCTTATGTTCTGGAAGAGAAAAAAATGAACCTCTCCTCAAAAATGCTTCAGTCCTTCCAAAGTCCTTCCTCTCTGTCCTCCTTTATACATAAGTGGCCCGTTGGGACATGGCTGGCTGGCTTCAGCAGCTTCCAATTCTGTGAACTTCAAATGGGAGCTTCATAGAGCCTCAGCTGTGTTCCTTACAGCATCCTGTTTCAAATAAGATAGGACTCCTCCCCACATCCTCATTTTCAATTGATGTATATCAAGCTCCATGGGGCTCATCAAGCTCTCGTCTGCCAATACAGGAGATACAGGTTTGATCCCTGGGTCAGAAAGATCCCCTAGAGAAAGAAATGGCAACCCACTCCAGTATTTTTGCCTGGGGATCCTGTGGACAGAGGAGCCTGGTAGGCTACAGTCCATGGGGTTGCAAAAGAGTTGGACATGACTTAGTGACTAAATAACAACAACAAAATGTCAAGCCCTGCCTTCCTCAAAAGCAATGCTGGTATGGAGCTTTTGCAATTGTGTATGATGCTTAAATTATTTTTCTTTTAGCCTGTCTTAGAGTTCTCCAGAGAAACAGAAGAAAGAGAAGGTGGAGTGAGACAGACAGAGAGAGCTTGTGGGATAGAGAAATTTATTTTAAGGAATCAGCTCATGGAGTTGTGAAAGTTAAACTCACTCAGTCATGTCTGACTCTTTGTGACCCCATGGGTTATACAGTCCATGGAATTCTCCAGGCCAGAATACTGGAGTACATAGCTGTTCCCTTCCAGGGGATCTTCTCAACCCAGGGTTTGAACCCAGGTCTGTCACATTACAGGTGGATTCTTTACCAGCTGAGCCACCAGGGAAGCCCTCATGCAATTGTGGGGGCTGGCAAATCTGGGGTTCACAGCACAGGTCAGCAGGCTGGATGTTCCTTCAAGTTGATGTTGCAGGCTTGAGGCTGAGTAGTTGGAATTCCTTCCTCTTCCGGGGACCTCAGTCTTTTCTCTTAAAGCCTTCATTGATTACATGATTACCAAGTTATGAAGGGTAATCTGCTCTATGCAAAGTCCACTGATTTAAATGCAAGTGAAAGTTTTTTAGTCATGTCCAGCTCTTGCGACCCCACGGACTGTACAGTCCATGGAATTCTCCAGGCCACAATACTGGAGTGGGTAGCCTCTAAATCACTTCTGAATAGAAAAATACCTTCACAGCAAAATGTAGACTGGTGTTTGACCTAACAACTGGGCACCACATCCTAGTCAGTTCAGTTCAGTTCAGTCACTCAGTCTTGTCCAACTCTTTGAGACCCCATGGACTGCATCACGCCAGGCTTTCCTGTCCATCTACTCCCAGAGTTTACTCAAACTCATGTCCATTAAGTCGGTGATGCCATCCAACCATCTCATCCTCTGTTGTCCCCTTCTCTCACCTTCAATCTTTCCCAGCATCAGGGTCATTTCAAACTAGTCAGCTCTTCGCATTAGGTGGCCAAAATACTGGAGTTTCAGCTTCAGCATCAGTCCTTCCAATGAATATTCAGGACTGATTTCCTTTAGGATGGACTGATTGGATCTCCTTGCAGTCCAAGGGACTCTCAAGAGTCTTCTCCAACACCACAGTACAAAAGCATCATTTCTTCGGTGCTCAGCTCTCTTTATAGTCCAACTCTCACATCCATACATGCTGGAAAAACCATAGCTTTAACTATTGACATCCTAGTCAAGCTGACACAAACTTTTGTATCCCATCCATGGGTCCAAGCAAAACACCTAGATAATGCTGATAAACTCAACACAGCAGTTGGGTGGATTTAAATATCTGTTTATTTTCTTACAGATTTTTTAAGTTGGAGCAGCAAAGAATGCGACAAGCGCCAACACTTCCTATGCAAGTATCGACCCTAGAGCAAGAATCCAGATCCTGCCAACCCTGGCTCAAGGCCCTTTCTTCTTCCTTCTCTGCCATGCTGCCTATCTGATCATTGTCTCGAAGAGTAAACATAGCAACTAAGACTGATGAAGCCCTTATTCCACTGACATTTTAAGCTCGGAGGCAGGGATGTCAACATTGGTCTGACAGTGTCTTCTAGCTCTAAATATTCACCCCACAATCCCTTTCCATAGTACTCTCCTTTCATCCTCCCCACTTCCACTATCTTTAGCAGATGAGGGGTGCCTCTCCCATTAATGAAAGAGCCAGGTCTTTGGTCATCAGGGATAAAGGTTTGATGATGAGAGAAGAAATTCAGAAAAAAGCCTCTTGCCCTCTTCAGCTTCTGCATTCCTCCACCCTCTCTCTATTGCCCTCACCCACCTTCTCAGCCATCTGCTTATTTTTCCGTTCGTTGTGGGAACATTTACCAGGAAAGTCTCTGCTAGGCAGATATAGACTATAACATTTCAGGGCCATTTTTAAATGAATGGTTGTGTGCAGAGAAGTTTGTTCTGTTCCAGTTCAGTAGCGATGAGAGTGAGAAGGTGAAATAAGACTCAGAAAACACACCCAAGTGTTTCTTCATTTCCTTCCTCCCAGTATTTGCTTTTTACCTCCTTAGCATAACTCCTCCCCAGCTGCAGCCACGATTAGATAGAGGAGAGATGGAGGTGTCACGCTTGGCCAACCTCTAAGCATGAGTGAGTGGGTGGGAGGTTGTTTCATCGTCAGCCCTGCAGCTTGTGAGGGGAGGTGACGGTCCAAGCAGGTGCAGGGGCGCTGACATGGCCTTGGGTGCTCTTGTCTTTCCAGGTGCTGACAACTCATGTCTTGCTCAAATCTCGTTGCCTTGTGAGGTTTGGGGTGGTGGCTCCAATGCCGAGGAGGTCATTTTTTCCCTCCCTAGGTCAGGAATCTACTTGGCAATGTAAAAACAAAACAATACAGACTTGACAGTTACAGAAAAGATGAATTTGGTGTGATCCCATGCCTGTTTCTTAGCAACAAACATGACCAGAGAGGAAAGGACATGCCATGCAGTCAGGCTGTGTGGTCACTTGCTTCATCCACACAGCACTGCCGACCAGTGAACACAAAATCTTACATCCCAACCTGAGGATGCTGTCTATCACCTAAACAGGCTAAGTCCAGCTGCCAAGCATGGACTGAAAGAAGAGAGGGAAAATGAAACAGAGGATCAGCCCAACCCACCTCTCCCTGCTCTCCTTCCTTTCTTCACCCTTCCCTCCGTTGCAACCTTGTCACTATTTTGGTTGTCAAAGAAAAACATCAGAAATGATGTATTGCTCCCCAGAAGCATTAAATAGCTTGTTCACACAAAGGATAAATCTTTTAATAGAGTTCAGACAAATGACAGGCAGATGGGAAAAGGTCATTCTTACAAAACATATAGTTAGCTTCAGCAAAAAGAAACCACCAACTCCCAAGAGGGTTCTGGGGCAAGTCACTGTCAGGAAATCAAATCAGAGTATCAGATTCCATGATGGAGATGGTAAATAAACAGAGATTACCAGACAGATAGGAGTCATGTAAGAACCTTATTAGATTAAGTACCAGAAGTGAAATAATTTAAATGAAAAGTGGATAACAATCCTCCCAAAAGGTAGAGGTTCTTAGTTCTTTTCTGACTGTGGCACACATGAGAGATAGAAGACACCATGGCTCACCTGTGTGTGTTAGCTGCTCAGTTGTGTCAGACTTTTTGTGACCCTGTGGACTGTAGCCCACCAGGCTCTTCTGTCCATGCATTTCCCCAGGCAAGAATACTGGAATGAGTTACCGTTCCCTTCTCCAGGGGATCTTCCTGACCCAGAGACTGAACCCAGGTCTCCTGCATTGCAGGCAGATTCTTTACCATCTGAGCCACCAGGGAAACCCATGGTTTAAGTATCTCCTCTAATTCAGTTACACGCTCCAAAGAAAAATAACACAGCATGATAGAAAAGAAGAAGACATGAACAAAATAAAAATCCAAAGAGTAAAAACCAGCAGGTACAGCAATGAAAGCAAAGTAAAACCTAACAGTCATTCTATAAATATACAAAAAGTATTTAAAATGCATTTAGAAAGAGTTCCAACGGAAAAGCATCACCAACTTAAGACAGCTTGGTGAGATAACAATAACTAAGCCCCCTACCTGAAATTGGGCTTCCCTAGTAGCTTAGACAGTAGAGTTTCTGCCTGCAATGCAAGAGATCCAGGATCAATGCCCAGGTCGGGAAGATCTCCTGGAGAAGGAAATGGCAATCCACTCCAGTATTATTGCCTGGAGAATTCCATGGGCAGAGGACCCTGGCGGGCTACAGTCCGTTGAGTTGCGAAGAATCAGACACAACTGAATGACTAATATACACACACATACTCCCTAAAATCACTGAAATGCCAACAATCTGCCTGTATAGGTGCACAGTGCAAGCTTCGTTGCCTTCCCACTATCTTATTAGAAGGCTGATATGGTCCTCAGTCAACTCTAGAACTATGTGATTTTCTTATGCATGTGGAATTTTAATAATCCTTAATAATTCACTGAGTAGGTATATTATTCAACAAATTCTGATTTAATGCATGTTATGTGCTATGAACTCATATCAAGAACTGATTAATTCATCAGTGAGCAAAGCAGATAAAGTTCTTTGCCATCTAGAGCATACCCTTCAGTGGGGATGAGGAACAGAGGTAGGAAAGTATTAGTTGAGGGCTTCCCTGGTAGTTGAGCTGGTAAAGAATCTGCCTGCAGTGCAGGAGACCTGGGTTCGATTCCTGGGTCAGGAAGATCCCCTGGAGAAGGGAAAGGCTACCCACTCCAGTGTTCTGGCCAGGAGAATTCTGCGGACTATACAGTCCATGCGGTGGCAAAGAGTCGGACACTTTCAGCCTCTCCCAACAGGAAGCTTCCAGCAGCCTCTTATCTTTATCTGTCAGACGGCAGACAGAATGAAAACCACAATCACAGAGAATGAATCAAACTGATCTCATGGACCACAGCCTTGTCTAACTCAATGAAACTATGAGCCATACCATGTAGGGCCACCGAAGATGGACGAGTCATGGTGGAGATTTCTATCAAGACGTGGTCCGCTGGAGAAGGGAATGGCAAACCACTTCAGTATTCTTGCCTCGAGAACCCCATGAACAGTATGAAAAGGCAAAAAAGATAGGACACTGAAAGATGAACTCCCCAGGTCAGCAGGTGCCCAATATGCTACTGGAGATCAGTGGAGAAATAACTCCAGGAAGAATGAAGAGACGGAGCCAAAACGAAAACAGTGCCCAGTTTTGGATGGACTGGTGATGGAAGTAAAGTCCAATGCTGTAAAGAACAATATTTCATAGGAACCTGGAATGTTAGGTCCATGAATCAAGGTAAATTAGAAGTGAAATTACATGGAAAGAGTGAACATTTACACTAAATAACATTTTATTCATATAAACGTAACTTTGGAAGCCTAAGCATCTCTCCTGATTTGACAACTCTTCCCATGCAACTCATTTAATAATGTATTAAATAAACCTAATTATTTCTAACAGCTGTCTTTCTATAAGATGAAAAAACAAATCTGTGTGACTTACCAGGAGCTTTTTGGGAAAACTGGGAAATCCTGAAGGTAATTTTAGATGTAAAAGATATGCCAAAGTACTATTTTTAAATTTTATTTTGAATGTAAAATTTGATTTTAGGAAGGCAGAAATCAAGTTGGCAGGAGATTCAACACTTACAATAGGAAAAGGATCATGGTGACTCTGAAGCAATATTCAATAAAGCAATAAAACATTGAGAGAGAGAGAAGGTAACATGATTATAAAGAACTTTAGTTCTTTCTTAAATGACAAACCTTTATTTTCTTAAATAATCAAAGACATGATAAACTCAACACAAACCATAGAAGGTTATTCTGGTAGACATACATAGAATCTTTGTGGTTCTAGGCAGGTTACAGCAGAAAAAAAAACAATAACCCTTTATATTTGTAGCTTGAAGCAATAAACAATAAATTAGGAAACTAGCACATTGAAATTAAGCCCACTTTATAAGATTTTAAATACTTCATAATTTTCAAAGTCAAGAATTATAAACCACACCAAATAAAATTGATTTAAAAATTTTATTCTTCATTGGAGTCTTTTATATTCTGAAACAAACTGATGTTTTACTTTATGACCATCTCAGAGGGGTTCATGAGGTTAAAACTAAGTTTATAATATTGCTAAAATATTATTAACATGCCATGCATTCATTGTCACTATCTTCAAATGGATCAGTAAGTAAGCATGGTAAAATTTCTGTTTCTGTTTCAATATTCAATAAAGCTGACTCAGTGGAAAAGATCCTGACCATAGAAAAGACTGAAGGCAAAAAGAGAAGGAAGCAGCAGAGGATGAGATGGTTAGATCGAATTTCAAGTTCACTGACTCAGTGGACATGAAGTTGAGCAAATTCCAGGGGACAGTGGAGGACAGAAAAGCCTGGAGTGCTGCAGTCCATGAGGTTGCAAAGATTCGGGCACGACTTAGCGACTGAACAACAATAAGAACAAAACATTAATAGTTGCAACCCACAGACAAAGCTCCCTGCTATCCTCAATAAGCATGAAGAGTACAAATGGGTTCAGAGACCAACAAAAAAGTACTTTAGGACAAGACTAATCTTTTCCTTAACAAACAAATATGTTCAGAGTTGTATTTCTCTGAAATTATTGTTCCCAAATAGAATCTCATCCACATATATCAATCATAACTTTAAACCAAAGTAATTTCGATTTCACAGAAAAAAAAAAACTTGGGGGAGACAACTGGGGTTACACAGCAGCGTCTTTGCAAGTCTTGAAGAGCTCAAATAGAACACAACTTCTACAGCCATACTTTATACAACTTCTCAAAATGGCAAAAATGAACATGTTCCTTAAAGACCCAAAGATATATAAGTCTCTCTGTAGCATATGAGAAGAAGGAA